TTTTTGCGTCTCCCTCTCAGTCACGCGCGCGCGTTTTGCGTGTCGGGTGATGTTAGTATTTCAGGCGGCTTCCCCCCCCCCCCCCCAACCAAAAAAAAAAAACAACAAAAAAAACAACAACAAAACAAACAAACTGGTCTTGTTACGATTATAGAATTATTTATTGACAAATTAGGCATAGCAAGGATTGACAAAAAGTATTATTCACCGACTATTAGGGCCGTTACTTTGAGAAACAAAATCGCCAATACGGCATATCGCGCAAAAACGCTCTGGATTAAATATTTGTTTTTCTCCGTATATATAAACGCTAAGGTTCTCAAACTTCGCCAGTCTCTTTTCTGTATATAGTTCATCTTTGCTTGAAATATTGCTGTCCTGGCTGGCGGGAGAAATTGAGAAAAATTGCTCACACGGGGGCATTTAATAAATATGCATTATTTTGCAAATCTTTAAAAGAAAGGCCATCTTTAATATTCTTTAAACTCTCCGAAATTAACGTTTATGATATATACTAACAGAATCTGCAACAACATAACGCAATTTTTGTGTGGATTTGAAGCTATAAAAGGAGAAATATGGCCAAATTGACGCTTGGATTGCCATAAAAGGGGCGTGCGCATACCCATCCTTTACAGTTTCATTATTATTAAAAACCGTAAAAATGCTACAGGGTGGTCAGGAAAAAACAACTAACCGCACAGAGGTGGATGGTAATTTTGAAGAGAACATTCCTAATACATTTCCGTACACCCGACCCAAAAATGCCCCTGGGCCGAAGTGATCGAGGTGCGCCCCCCTGTAACATGCTTCGCGGTGCCTGTTTCAACAGCCGGCGTGTAGCGTCTCCGTCTACGCGACGTAAATGATGCAACCTGAATGGCTTTGAAAACAGATGAGCGTATACAATCTTGGCGCTAACATGATATGGGAAGTAGGGCGCGGCAGAACCTCAACCTGCGCCGCCCGTGAGCGCCAATAGATCCGCCACCGTGGAGGGCCGCACAACGCGTAGGAAATAGAGATACCTAAAAAAAAAAAGAATTCCGTTAGAATGAGATTGTCTGCATTGGGCGTTTTCAGATAGGACCGAATGACCATGTCCGGTCAAAATTTTGTTTTTTATTTTTACCAAAAGATGTTTTATTTGTTGTGCATCCTCAAAAACATATTCAAACTTTTTTTGCGGAAAATAAAATTTTTTTTGAGGAACAAAACCACACAGTCGCTGTCTGTATACGCGCACGTTTTTGCAACTTGCATGGAACCGTCCCTTTAGACATTTTTAAAAGAAAAACTGTTGCCACCCTAGGTTTAGTATTTTTTGTGCAGTGACAGTGCATAAAATAAAAGGAGGTAAACATGTATTATCGATTACGAAGCGAATGCGAAGACTGGAAATTGAAATTTTTTAACGTGATTTGGACGCGTTTGTTTAATATTCACACAAATTGTCATTGAAATTAAAAACAATAACCTTTCTAAAAAAAAAAAAAACCTGGAATGTAGACAGGTTACCGATTTTGCAATAACTGGAAAATCAGTTTACAATGAAGGCCATCTTAATGTTTCTTCTACATTTGACAGATCGAGGCTCGCAATCTGTCCTATCAGGCCCTTCAAAAATGTTCTGGCTGCAGAACCCAAGATCCTGGGTTCAATTCCCACCCCTGCTCGTTTCGATCTGGATGAGTATCGTACCGGCGTGCTTTCGTGTATCACTACTGCGTGATGCACGTTAAAGACCCTTGGCTAGTGGGTGTACTGCACTGGCTAAATTGCTCATCTACAGCTGGGAGACTTGTCGCCCATTCAGGCAGACCAAGATCTAGGCTGTATAAACATACACGCAACCCATTTTGTTTTTCGAAAATGTTTTGCAATATTGTTTGTATTTTTTAAATTTTACACAGCGCTAAACGTAAAGAATATCCGTAACGGGAGAAAGAAAAATAGGATTTTCCTCGTAGACTTCAAAAGGTGTGGTGGATCAAAAGGTGCAAAGATGGTTGACGTGCCGAAAACAAAGAAAGGCCTTTCAGGCGAAACGCCGAGCTGAAAAAAACAAGCTCTGATTTCTTGGCCTTTGATCGCAAACAACACCCGCAAACTTGAGGCCGCGCTCTGCAAGACGCTGCAGAGCTGTAAATACAAGCGCCTGCAAAATGTCACTTGGTGTTGACGACGAGGAAAAGAAGTAACCTGACATTTGCTTCCATTTTCGAGTGATGCTTCGGACCATGAAACAGAGCGCTTCAGTGGCAGTCTTCTGCCCAGGTCGGGAAGGGTGTTCTTGCCCAAACGTTTCGAGACCCACGACAGAGTCGGAAGCACTTAAGTAGAATCTATATTGATATCCCACCTCGTCGCGAAAATTAGAGCAAGCGAATTATTCCAATACTTCAGCTTTGACCTAAATCGCGAAATAGTGAGAGCGTGAAAAATAAGTCGTTTACAGTAAACCGGAAAGAAAAACTACAAGGGTCAATGAACAATACGTAAGGGGGTAAGTATGCTGGTGTATATCAAACATTATTGTGAAAAACCCGAGACTCGAGTTTTTCACAAAAATGTACAAGGGTCATTGCATTCGGTGTAAAAGTTTTCTTCCGTAAACATATGTCAACATATGCACAAACGTGTATACAGCCAGACTTGTACACGTTACTGAAAAATAGTAAGGGATTACAGTTACAATTACTCAAGGCTAAATTGTAATTTATTACAATTACAATTACCCTCCCATAAAAGTAACTGACCGTTACCCCAAAAAGTAATCCGTTACTTTCGTGGCGTTACTTTCAACAATATTTTCCTCAATTAAGAAACAAAGGAAAGAAAGTTATTCAAGTTTTTATTGGGTTGCCAGCGGTTAGACTTATTGACCTTGAGTATTTTGAGCAACAGCTGACTCACGAAAGCCTCGTCAGACATTTTGCGTTATTTCTTACTCAGTATGCCCACTGCTACGCTGAACACCATTTGGACTGAGGCACTGGATGGGAGTGCCATGTTGTTCTTCACGAACGTTTTATGCTCTGCATTGAGCTTTTTCAGCGAAGCAAGGGAAGTACTTTTTACCTCGAAGATAGAGCAAAGCTTCGTCGTTGCAGCCGTTGCCTAATTTTCGAGAGTTTTAGTAGAGTTGCTAACAGTAAGTTGATAATTAAATAATAAATAAGGTTTGGCTCGATATTCTTCTTCCTTTGGTTCTGAACAGGTCGAGCCTCGGTCGAGATGTTGGTGAATAAGAAAAAGTTTCCAATATTTAAATATAAGTAATCAAGAAAAATACAACAGGACACTCATAACAACAATTAATTAGAACGTTGGTTAAAACAAGGAAATGTAAACGCACGTATGCCATGTGTACCTTTCTTGGTGCCGTTCAAAAACGCACAGAGCACGGACCGACTTCAGTTTATTCCGGTGTTCTCCAGATGGAGGTCCGCTGATGCCACGGGCAGCAAAGGGCAGAGAACTAAGTAAGCCGCACTATGGCCCCACACACGAGTTTCACTCAATCCTGAAGACCAGAATATCAAGTCTACGTCAGCCACCATTATGTCCTATTTGTAAAATATCTGCTTGAGATAAGATGCGCCCTGTTGGAGTAAAAACAGGAAGGAAAAGTAAGACTATTACCATTTTCAAAGTGCTCGCAAAGAGCTGACTCACAAAAAGTGCAACTGAGATGCGATAACCTGGCTGGAATTCACAAATAAAGTAGGCCAACCCTAGAGGTTGAACCACAAAAAAAAAAAGAAAAAAGTAAGCAGTTCTTAAAACAGGGTTAAATAAGGTGAAAGAAGCAGAAAAAAAAATCCTGTATTCTAAGAGAACATGATGAGTGTGCATCGACGAACGAGGGTGCTTGTGGCAATAACACCTTCACATATCATCACATCTCTTTCAGTGGATTTTAGCGTAAACGGAGCGTTGTCTCGTGTTGCGACATTATGAAAATGGTCTTAGTCACTATAACCGAGAAGGACATTGTTAATTCATGTCTGCGCACTTACTGCCTTGAGCTTCTCGAAGAGGCATACAATCACTTGGTCTCTTCCTCTCCCTCCTTCGATCGCAAAACAAAGACAAAAAAAAAAAAAAAAACCGGATATAACTTGCCGTTTTTTATTTTTCTAGAGATGTTTATTTGGATATTTTGACATTGTTGTTAGGGTGTTACGAAATAGATTCAGGGGCTTGGTGTTGCAAAACAAAAAGAAAAGGCTTTGCTGAACTGAAGAGTGTGCCAAGCCTCCCTCCCATATCACTGCGCTCAACTTTACCAAAATGAAAACGACATCTTGTAAACCCTGAGATGGGGAACGATAAAAAAACGGACGAACACAACAAAATCTCAAACAATGAAAACGATTTTTTTAGAAGGAGGGCGGGGGCTCGTCCTGAAAAATATGTAACGGATTACAAGGAATCCGTTACGTTTAAAATGTAAGGGAATTACTTTAAAATTACCCTAGAAAATATCTAATTTTTCCGTTACTAAATTACCAATAAATGTAAGGGATTACAAGTAATTTCGTTACTTGTAACGGATTACGTACAAGTCTGTATACAGCCACGTATACTCTAAAAAAAGCCCGTGAGTCTGCTTTCCCGCACAACACTCGGAGAGCCAATCACCGCCACTTACGGAGGCAGCTCAGCGAATGACAATGCCGAAACATATGTTTAGATTAAAAAAAAAAAAAATAACGCCGTCTGAGTTGTGACATTAAGCGATGCAAGCGTGACCTTTTGGATTGCTTAATGTCACAACTCAGACCATCGTTTTTTGGTCTAAAAATATGTTTCGGCATTGTCATTCGCTGAGCTGCCTACGTAAGTTGCGGTGATTGGCTCTCCGATTGTTGTGCGTGAAAGAAGCCGCACAAACATTTTTTAGAGTGTATACGTATTGAAGAAAAACACAGGAACTCGTTAGTGGCTTACAACACTTCCCGCTCAGCGTTTCGAGAACAAGGAGGTTGTAAGCCATGAAAGCTGCCTTGATGCACGGGTTGCTGGTTGTAGCGTTCGTATGCATGCAGTTGTCCCAATACGAATCAGCAATGACACATGACGACGCCTTTTATGCGAGAGTCTTGGGAAGCGACCCCGGTATATGCGGTAAGTGTGACTTGGCACGAGATTTGACTGATATTTCTATCAGCGGAAGCATTTATGTTAAAGATTGGTGCAGCCATTATTGTACTTTACGCAAATATCATTTAGAATAAACCCCTGACGTTGATAAGCTATGAAACACGCGTTAGGTTTTCACTTCACGGGTTGGTAGGCGCAGAAAAAAATTAAAGAAAACGAGCAGCGTTCACACCCGTCAACTCCCAGCCAGATTAAGTGGCCACGCTATCTGGAGCCTATTATATGCCGCCAATGCTCATCATAGCCACGCGCTGGGATTGGCACGCGCTGAGTTCCGCACATTGTTAGTGTTCGGCTGTTGCCGACATTGCTGCGATCAGACACAAGCCACCACCCTCATGCTTGTCCAGTTATTGATTATCACGAGCCCAAATCAAGTGCTCACGAGGTTTTTGAGACCAATCTATATGAGCCGCACTCAAAGATCGTCACGCAGGGAACCATGCCGTTGATTATGCCAACACTGTGACCTCCGAGCTACGTCATCAAGTTTTGCGAAGGAAAGATTGAAAGAAAACGGTAGTTTTTATCCTTGAAATTACACTGGAAGCATAATGTTTCTTGATTAGTATCGTTGCATGCGAGTATACATAGGTCCCTCATGGCCAGTAATGACGTGCAAAGTGAAAAACAATCAAACTGAATATTGTTGCGCCGCCCCTTTAAAAGGACCATGCAGCGATATTCGGTAGGAACGTTTCTCCCTTTGCTCAAGCTTACCGGCACTAGTGGGACACGATTACTCTCACGAAACGCCACGGTCCAAGAAACTTCTTTGCCACCGCGTAATTTCAATGTTAAAAATGGACGTTTTCTTAAAGTCTCTCCTTCGAAAAGCTTGATGACGAGGTTGGAGAGATCGCATTGTCGGCGTTGTCAACGATGCGATTCCCAGGATTTTGTCATAAAACTTTGCGATTCCCGCGTCGACGATATTTATCTGCGGCTCATACGGTAGACAAGAGCACTGCGTGGTGCATTCGATTTGGGCTCGCTTCAGTCAATGTCTCGACATGCATTTGCGGATTGGCTCGCGCCCAACCGCTGCGAGGACGGTCATAGCCGAAGTTTAATGCGTGGAACTCGGCGCGTGGCTATAATCAACATTGGCGGCATATAATCGGCTCCAGGTTACGTGGCCACATGTTCTGGCTCCGGGTTGACCGTGTGAAGGCTGTCCAGTTTCCTCGAATTGTTTTCTGCATATGACATACTGTGGAAAAATAAAAAATAAAAACGCTTGTTTTATTTTTTAAACTCCGAAAAACACTCGGCGTTAAAATTTTCGTCAAGTCTGATTTATCCGCAAGACTTTTAATTTCAATGTTTGAATGCGCGAAAAAGAAGACATTTACTCTACAATTAAGTTTTTTCAGAGCTCCGGGCGAAGATCCTGAGAATATGCCACTCCAGCTTTCTTTCAAATCTTGGATTATCGAGAAAAGGTGTCTTACCGCTTATCTCGTCAAGGTTCATTCAGGACAACATGTCATTCTACTTTTGGAGCACGACAAAAGCCACTTTTCCGCTTTCCAGTATACACCAGTTTTGTGTGCTTTTTAGAAAAAGAAGGAAATGCGTTTTTGTATCAGTGGAATTTATGAACCATAGATACTTCATAGAAGGAGGAGAAGGGGGGGGGGGGGGGCAGTGGAAACTTCTAGATTGCACCCTTTACTACTCCGCACCTCACAGCCATGGGGTGAGTCCGTGGTTCTCAACCACCGATGTTTCGCGGACCCTTCGTGGATCGGCGGAGCTGATGGAAGACCCCGTCCGTGGTGAGAGGAGAGGAAACAAGTTTAGGTTAAATATAATAATGATTTAATAAATGAACATAACTAAGGGCTAGGTTAAAGTTAGCCTCTCTTATTGACATACAGCTGTTAAAAAAGTTGTATGTAAAAAAAAACAACTTTTATTTCCGGGATTGACTGATGAGGCAGGGCTTCGCGGACCACAAGAATGCCTTTGCGGACTCTAGAGGGTCCGCAGACCCCCATTTCAGATCCACTGGGGTAAGTTATGGAATCGGACGGGATAAAAAACGAGCTTTCCAGCGACAAGCTTCAGAAGTGAAGTGGTTTTGAGGTATCGACGCTTGTAGAAGCAAAACTTGTTTGCATGTTTTATCGTTGGAGAGATTACTAGTGTCAAGGACAAGGGCGACAGCGCGTGTCCAGATAAAGAAACATTTAAGACACGTTTAAACCCGTATAAACTTTTCGTCCTAATAGGGAGCATTGCAAAGTTAGGGTTCAAATTTAGAATATTTGGTAATCTAATCAAAATGAACTCCGATAAACACAAGATTCTCAGAAAAAAAAAAAAAAAAAACTCTGAGAAAACATTTTTCGAGTAGGACGCAAAATCCCCTCGAAAGCACGTAATCCTCTTCATAGATTATGAATGTCAAAGAATAATTTGAACAATACTGAACGTCGAAAACCTCTCGGATCGCCTTTTTAAACATTTGGAATCGGCATTGGTATTACCCGAACGCAAAAAGCAATCTTCGTCAGATTTGAATGTTGACGCGCGAGAGTTTTATCTTTGTAGAACATGGTTCGCAATTTTTTTGTTTGGTACATACAGCTCCCCCATATCTTACAAAAAGACGACAACTGGTGCGAAAAAACACACAAACCACCAAAACAAAAGCCCCCTCCCCGCTGTACGCATCTTTTGCTTGTGAAGCATTTCTTTCAAACGTGGGGTTCCCCTGTCTAAGCGTAGACTGCTCGGCCATCTGATCAACTCAGGTTGAGATGTCTCACCTCCTTAAAGGGACCATGAAACGATTTTAAAATCGAATTTCATCCACCGCACGTCGTAAAAGGTGCGAAAAGAAAACCAAAACACAAAAATAGAAACCGAAAAACTTTTCACAATTAAAATTTTAAAAGAAACGCGGGCTCGTTTATACCTTTTTTCCTTTCAAAGCTCTCTGCCTTTTTACTGCGTTTCATCCTCGGTGTCAATTCATGTCAGCCAGATCCACGTCGCCCATTGGATAAGAGCGTATACCCCACCAGCACCGCGACCATAAGCAATAAACAGCGGGCAAATGTTTCTTCAAAGTTTTGTTAAAGCATATTCTGATCCACATTTTGTTGAACAATTAGCGATGTGACGGAAATTGCCGAATTTTATATTGCGCGGAGCTATGCGCCATCTATTGTGTGGTAAACGAAGCAAAAGAAAGATAAGACTGCGCCTGCGCTGTTTCGTTGTTTCTGCTCTGCTGAAAAACATGGCGTCGGTGATGATCGTTGACTTGGTCGGCGTCACTGATCTTAATGACAGTTGCTGGATCGCGCTTCCCCGCTTGTTCGCTGCAGCGCGAGTGAAGCCACCGGATGGCAACTTGCTGGGATACGATTTGCGGTTTTGCTAGCCTTTTGCTGCGGTTTTCCAGGGCGCTCTAGACATGTTTTCTACTCGTTCGTCGTCATTCGCCGAATAAGTTCTTTAAGACTCAGTGCACCATTGAGACTTCCCGTTGTGAACACATAGAAAATTTGTCGAAAGCGCAGTCCCGCAGAAAAAAAGGCATAACTCGCCGAAAACAAGTTTTGCCGGCCTGGTGGCGTGTTCAAAGCTTCCTTGGCACGCCTAAAAGTGCCGTGTCTCTGTGCCTTCGTACGCTTAGATACCGACCAAGAATCGACGCCGTGTGAATGTGTTTTGCGAGTGAAATGTGCGTGAAGCCGTATTTGCCTCTGGATCAGCGTCTTACTTTATTTTTACGACTGTATACTTGCGGCACTCGCGGTCCAGAAACGAGCTTATTCCAGCGTCCAGAAGCGACGGAAGAGGGCGGAAGGTACGTCTTTTTTTCGTCCTTAGACGATTTACAGAATATTGCGCAAAACAGCTCCTCACCACTGATCAGTGCTGGCTCATTATCAACCTACTTAATTGCACTTGGCGTTTGAGCGTGGCTCGCCTAATTGTGATTGGTCAACAGATTGCACACGACCTTATGGGCCGCGCTTCAAGGATTTTCATACTCGCCGTCTTGTACTTTTGCCTTCGAAAACCCTCCTTGCTCTACAGCTTTGCTCTATTCGTGCTCCAATGTGATCCATTAGAGTAGATTTGGAACATAGCCATGGTTAATAGTACATAAGAACACGTACAGATCTCCCCCCCCCCCCCCCTTTTCCCTTTATTGATAGCAACTCACCGGAACACCTGGACAATCCAGAACTCCGTGGCCGATTTATATATACATATATAAATGATCTAAAGGCATCTACGCGCGACACACGTTGACAACTTTGGTGCGACGTCAATTCTTGATCGGTATCTAAGCGTGCGAAGGCACGAAGATGCCGCACTCGGCGTGCCAACGAAGCTTTAATCATGTCGCGAGACCGGCGACACTTGCTTTCGACGAGTTGTACCTTTAGATACGTACGGCTTCACGCACATTGCACTCGCAAAGCACATCCACACGGCGTCGATTCTTGTTCGGTATCCAAGCGTGCGAAGGCACAGAAACACGGCACTTCGGCGTGCCAAGGAAGCTTTGAACACGCCGCCAGACCAACGAAACTTGCTTTCGACGAGTTGAGCCTTTTTCCTGTGACACTGCGCTTTCGTAAAATTTTCCACGTGTTCACAACGGCAAGTCTCAACGGAACACAGACTCTTAAAAAAACTTCTTCGGCGAATGACGACGAACGAGTAGAAAACGTGTTTACAGTACGCTGGAAAACCGCAGCAAAACGCTGGCAAAACCGCAAATCGTGTCCCAGCCAGGTTCCGTCCGGTGGCTTCACTTGCGGGAGCGGGAAGCGCGATCCAGCAATGGACCTTTTCCACATACCGACGGCACCAGGCGGTTGCTGCACGAACTAAAAATCGAGGAAATGACCTACCTGTGCTACCAATCGTTAATGGGAGCTACACTACCAGTTTCTTCGCGCTCTGAGCAGCGGCGCCTGCCCAATGCGACT